TCATCTTACAATGACAACACGCTTCCTGCTGACCAGACTCTGAGGAAAAGCTTAAGTGATTTTGTTGAGGCCTTTGGAGAACAGGATGCATGCTCAGAGGTATGAAGACATTCCTAAACATTTTAATGCAGCTATCCCGAGTCACCAAATCTGTTCTGTGTTCTTATTGTGCTGTCCTTTCAATTGGTACTCCATCATCTTTCAGTTTCAAACGTTCATTTGAAAGTTATTCTTCATAATAAAATGCATTTATAGCTATAAATGTTTATAAAGTTATTTTCCCGTTTGTCTCTTTTATAGCAATATGCTGGTAAATTGTCCAGTGTGTACTCTAACTCAATTACTGTTGTTGTTGGTCAGCAGCTCCTTCTGATCCTGCAAAGATGAATTCGTTTAAATTGATTTTTATTTATTTATTCTATTTTAGTTTGATTATTGATTCATAATTTGTATTTGACTTTTAAAGATATTTTGGAGTGGATTTTGCCATTTTGAGGTTGCTTTTATGTATGATATTTTATTCTTCTTATTGGTCTTACATCTTCGTTGTATACACATTTTATTAATTTACTATATTTCTTTTATTGCTTCAGTCAATATCCTGATAAACCATTCTTCATTAATAAGTTGGAAATCCGAACATCATCTGTATCTTGTGTTTTTTAAGATTTGTTTCCCAGCTTATCTTCAACCTCATAACCTTTTAGTCTGTTTGTTGAAATATTTTTTCTTCAGGCACTCATTTTCATGTTAGTTTAAAAATCCACATGTGCTGAATAGCTCTAAATAATTTTAAATTAAAACAAAATAAAATGTAGAACATTTAGTTTTTTGGCCTTATTATAAAATGACTTAAACTTTGTTGTTTCACTTGTGCCAGATATTATTTCAAGCTTTGATTTGTGGCTCTTTTTATTCTCTCTTAGTCTGATCTGGGGAGTATATATGTAAGTTACAGTTTGAAATGAGGCTGTTATTATAGAAGGATATATTTTGTGATGGTCATCACTGAATATTGCCAATCTGGATACTTTGAACAGGTTATTTCTTCTAATACAGAACAATGTGTTGCAATGTAAAAATACTTGGTATAGAAGTCATAGCTAGTACAAAAATACTTTTAAGAAAGCAGGTTATTGTAGAGACATGGCACAGAATAACAGCCCTCTCAGCAGTATTAAATGTTATATGATGGTAATATTCTGGATGAAAGACACATGAACTGATTGGCTATAATTCTACTGTTTATTATGCAAGCAAATCCCCACTGTTAATTGATAATCATTCAGGAGGAGCAAATCTTATAAGTCACTGACTGGATGCAATCAGATGAGTTTTGTTAGAACCCTTTTAATTACACTCACCGGCCACTTTATTAGGTACCCCATGCTAGTAACGGGTTGGACCCCCTTTTG